TGGTCAGTATGTATAAAAAAAAAAAAAATTGTGTAGCATACAATGCATAAGAAAAAAAAAAACTATGAAAAGGACCTTGAAATTGAGCGCAAAGTAGCGGAAATGTTCGATTTTTGCTTATGTTCAAGCATAAACAAATGATATTGTCCAATAAGTGTCCAACTAGCCATTCCAATATGCAATCACAAATAGACTTACATTTATACAATTATTACAATAATGCAGTAGTTTCCATAACAGTATATCTATTTTTTGTGTTAAAAATAGAAAGCAAGAATAATATAAGAAAGGCCTGGAAATGTGACCGATAAACAGAAAAAATGTTAGTGCCAAGAATGCCTGCATTGTTCATTCTGGACCCTATTTTGAAAATGGCATCTTTTAATTTGTGTGAAATTTGACAAACTGCCAATTTTCTGACCACTTTATTAGGTAGCTGAAATTGGTAAGTGGGCGGTTTCTTTTACTCAATCGATAGAACAAATAGAGTTCTAAAGAAATAGCTACGAGTTTGGTTGACTGGAACAATGGAATTGGCCGAAAATAGGGCTTAAAGTGGGCAAAATCGCCGATGCGTAAACATCGTTAAGATCACTAATTTTGCGAGAGTGTAATTTCGTAAATTTTCCATCAAATTTCGTACTTTTGGAGTCATTAACATCGGGAAAAGTTTCTATCATTTCACGAGAAATTTTTTATTTTTTTTTTTTGAAAATTTTGCGACAGACTTTAGGATTTGGGTTCACAACAGTCAAAGGGTTAATGCTGTAAAACCAGCCATGATATGCCAAAAAACTTTCCCTTTCATTTTTCATTGCCATTTTCCTTTTAACACTGAATAGAGACTTGTAATTTTTAAAAAGTGTAGGTGCCACACCATTGCTGCACATTCTAATTTTGGCTTAAGGTATGTTGTAAACTTTTTCTTTTAGCATTTCTCCATCCATATATTTTATAATTCTCTAGCATAGCATACTAGTTCCTCAAATTCTTTTGCAATCTTCCAGTGACAATTTAACAACTTAGGTCTCTTTCAGTCACCTCATTTTGTCAAGCGTGTATTCCTGTGGCCTGATTTCACTTTTCTATGTACATGGTATTTACATATATTTTATTATTATTATTATTATTATTATTATCACACTGGCCGATTCCCACCAAGGCAGGGTGGCCCGAAAAAGAAAAACTTTCACTATCATTCACTCCATCACTGTCTTGCCAGAAGGGTGCTTTACACTACAGTTTTTAAACTGCAACATTAACACCCCTCCTTCAGAGTGCAGGCACTGTACTTCCCATCTCCAGGACTCAAGTCCGGCCTGCCGGTTTCCCTGAACCCCTTCATAAATGTTACTTTGCTCACACTCCAACAGCACATCAAGTATTAAAAACCATTTGTCTCCATTCACTCCTATCCAACACGCTCACACATGCCTGCTGGAAGTCCAAGCCCCTCGCACACAAAACCTCCTTTACCCCCTCCCTCCAACCTTTCCTAGGCCGACCCCTACCCCGCCTTCCTTCCACTACAGACTGATACACTCTTGAAGTCATTCTGTTTCGCTCCATTCTCTCTACATGTCCAAACCACCTCAACTTCCTCAGCCCTCTGGACAACAGTTTTGGTAATCCCGCACCTCCTCCTAACTTCCAAACTACGAATTCTCTGCATTATATTCACACCACACATTGCCCTCAGACATGACATCTCCACTGCCTCCAGCCTTCTCCTCGCTGCAACATTCATCACCCATGCTTCACACCCATATAAGAGCGTTGGTAAAACTATACTCTCATACATTCCCCTCTTTGCTTCCAAGGACAAAGTTCTTTGTCTCCACAGACTCCTAAGTGCACCACTCACCCTTTTCCCCTCATCAATTCTATGATTCACCTCATCTTTCATAGACCCATCCGCTGACACGTCCACTCCCAAATATCTGAATACATTCACCTCCTCCATACTCTCTCCCTCCAATCTGATATCCAATCTTTCATCATATTTACATATATCTTAAATTCAAATTATCCATCATTCCATTTACTCAGTTTAACCAAATTATCCATATACTGTGCATACATACTGTACAGAAATCCTTGCAGTCTAATCAGCTCTGGTAGAAGTGTTCTTTCCTACATCCTGTACAACCAAGCTCTACATTACAAGTGCCATGGTTATGTCAGTTTTTGAGGGTTACGATTTTGTATACACGACATCCTTTGCAAATTATACTAGGATCTGCACAATGTAGGACATTGTTAACCTTGAAGAAAATATAAATCAAGTTTTCCAAGGGACAACGGAAAACAATACGATGTTCAATGAAGACAAATTCCAACTACTCTTATGGAAAACTGGAGAAGATAATTAGAACAGTATACTACAGACTGATCACACAATAGAGCAAAAAAATAATGTGAGGGACCTGGGAATGGTAATGTCTGAGGATCACAACAGTGCTATGTTCACAACTACAAAGAAAATGATAGGATTGATAATGAGAAATGTTCAAAACAAGAGATGCCAAGCCAATGATGATACTTTTCAAATCACTTGCTCTCTTTAGGCTGGAATACTGCTGTACATTAACATCTGTTCAAAACAGGTTAAATTGCAGATCTAGAGTGTGTACAGAGAACCAATACTGCAAATACAAGTTCCATCAAACACTAACTACTGGTAATGCTTAAAAGCACTTTACTTACTGGCTTAAAAGCAGGCATGAGAGATGCATCATACCTGGAGTTTACCTGGAGAGAGTTCCGGGGGTCAACGCCCCCGCGGCCCGGTCTGTGACCAGGCCTCCTTAGGTCAGTGTCCCAGGATGCGACCCACACCAGTCGACTAACACCCAGGTACCCATTATACTGATGGGGAACATAGACAACAGGTGGAAAGAAACACGTCCAATGTTTCTACTCTGGCTGGGAATCGAACCCAGGCCCTCGCCGTGTGAAGCGAGAGCGTTAACCACCTAAAGGAATGGTCCTAAATCTGCACACAGAAATAACTCCCTACGAAAGTAAAAAGACTGGGCAGGCAGTGCAAAATACCTACAATGAAAAGTAGGGACACCCATTGGTACACCAAGGGTCCAGGGGCCCCAAGACTGTTCAACAGCCTCCCACCATGTATAAGGGGAATTACCAATTGACCCCTGGCTGCCTTCAAGTGGGAGCTGGACAGATACTTAGTCAGTGCCAGATCAGCCAGGCTGTGGTTCGTATGTTGGACTACGTGCGGCCAGCAGTAACAGCCTGGTTGATCAGGCCCTGATCCAACAGGAGGCCTGGTCCACAACCAGGCCTCCCGTTGGATCCCTGGAATACCTTCCAGATAGACGTCAACACTAACTGAATTATGTCATTTTCCCAACTATACTGTCTGAAGATTTCCTGAATTTCTTTGGTATCCTCTGAATTTACTAGTATTTTTGTGTCACTGTCTACAGACAGTATAATTTAGTTACAATACATGCATTAAGCTCATTTGTTAGTCATATTAATAATGCATTATGAAAACTTGGCTTTATTGATTTATTGAAAAACAAGTTGAAGCATCAATGTTAAAGCCACACAATTTTATGTAGTCATGGTGATGTGTATTAATGTCAGTACACAAGTTCCCCAATACTGGTGTGTGTCAAGAAACAGCCATCAAATTCAATTTTATTTCTTTTATGCAGTAAACAATGTAGTTTACATGTAATAAAATATTGTTAGACAAGAGACAGCCACTAGCATGCTGTCCATTTCAGCCATAAAAATAATAATGTTTAAAGACTAAAACAACTAGACATTTAGTAGGGTTTCTTGAATCAGTCACTAAGAATCTTGCAAAGTTTGCAAGATCAGGCAATTTAAGCGTATACAAGTTCATTTAGATAAACGTCAAAAGGTACTGTAAATTACCTGGAATAACCCAACAAAAATAAGTTACATTTCCATTGGGGGTGGGGGTGGGGGGTCCACTTGTTATGTCACCAAGTTCACATACATGCTTTATCTTGGTACTCTACATATGGTTTTACACACTTTAAACAATTATAAAACATTTGCAATACAGCTTTAGCCATGTGATGCTGGTAAATAATGTACATTTAGCCTCGGATAACCCACGAAATGAAACTTGTCCTCGGTCATTGACTTTTCTGGGTTATTCTAGGCAATCTACACGTTTCTGCAAGATTAGATTTTGTTCAGATTTTTAACTCCGCAGGGTTAGTCCACGCAGGATAACCCAAAAAAGGCAGTGAGTAACTGAGGACTATCGTATTTCCATCGGGATCCTCAATCTAGTTTCCCCAGGATGCGACCCACACCATTCAACTAACACCCAGGTACCTACTTGCTTGCTAGGTTAAAGGACAATAGGTGTACGGAAAATGCGTCGAAGTTTTTCTACCCTGCTGGGAATCGAACCCGGGCCCTCAGTGTGTGAAGCAAGAGCTTTGTCAGCCAAGCTATGCAACTGTACCTATACCTCAATAAACCTACTTATTATCCTAGATAATTTACTGTATAAACCCTGGTAATGGATACCGAACACTAAAACATTAGAAAACTTCTCGTTCCTGGGATCTTGGTCACTTCCAACACATTAAAAAATACAGTATAAATACAGAGTTAAGTGGCTGTCTTTTTAAAGTTTGTTGAGAGTAATCAATGTTTCAGGGCAGAAACGTTTTCTAATATATCCTGGTGTTTGCTCGCCTGTCCTTATAAACCAACTGACACTGTGATAAGTGTACTTACAAGGATCTGTGCCTAAATAAGCTTATTTTATCTAGCACATATATTACACTTAACCAGTTACAAGTAAAGAAAAGTATCCTTTCTAAACAAGAAACTTAAATTTTCAATTTTAAGTGACAGTCAATACATATCAATACCTGGTCAATTTCCATGAGCACAAATATATATATATATAAAGTTAACTACCATCAAACAGCTAGAGAGAGAATACGAATATTAGTAGAAGCATATAAAGCACTGCATACCACACTAGAGATTGTCGTGTGTCCCGCTAGGTGTTAGATGCTACCTGCTAGACGATACATTATCAATGATGGTGGTGATGATGATGTTGTATAATGTACAGTGACTCTGGCCGCCTCACTCCCTCACTACCATGATTTGCCTTTATCTTCTCACATCCCTCTCGAAAATTAGGAAAACTATGAAATATTAATTATAAACCCTCATGCAATCCTTATATCGAAAAAGGAATCATCTTACCCTTCATAGGCAATTAAATAATTCTCTCATCTTAAATATTTTCATTACAAAATATATATATTATAAAACATAAAGATTCCAAATCGGGTTTTAAAATCCACTAAAAGAGTTTTTATAATTTTTTATTAAAATATTTACAGCGTTTTGAATTAATTATTTAAAATACATCAACGATTAGTATTTTTATTCAATTATTCTATGAAAAACATACAGGGGCATTTAAATTTCCTGAATATCGTCAGCTGGATATGTCCTAATCGTTTGCCAAACTCTTGTTAATTGAAGACTTTTTTATTTAGTCATTTATAAAGAAAAATTCCTCTAAACAAATAAATAAATAACTATACGTATCAATTAGCATTGCATCTGATGAGATATTTAATTACAATTTGCATAGGTACAACCGGGAAAACTGTAAATAATCGTATCATTTTAGGCAACACTCTTTATATAAATCCTTACGTTGCTATTAATGCCGCATCAAGTGTATGTATACTTTTATTTTTATTTATTTATTTATTTATTTATTTATTTCCAATTTGTGCACACATACAGAGGTACAAAAAAATACAGATAAGAGCAGTATGCCAAAGCCACTTATACTATGCATAGCATTACGGGCTGGCTTAAAATTAACTTAAGATTAACTAAGCAATGATTATTATTATTATTATAATCAAAAAGAAGCGCTAAGCCACAAGGACTATACAGCGCTGCTACTAAGCAATGATGAAATCAGTGATAAAACATTAATGTAAACAGATAACTATAAAGCACAAGTGAGTATTACAAAGACAGGTCATATGGTTGCATTCAGTTTAGGTAGTGATTCTGTTAGGTAGTGTATTTAAAAAATAATAAAGTTAGATTGGGTTTTAGGTTTAACATTTATGTGATATAATTGTGAGAAACATTTAGATATACAATTTATAATGTTCAGTTATTCAGTATTTATTTGGTTTAGGTGAGTAAGTAATCTTTGAGAAGAGACTTGAATTTATAAACAGGTTGTGTTTCTTTTATATTGACAGGTAATGAATTCCAGATTTTAGGGCCTTTTATGTGCATTGAGTTTTTGCATAGTGTGAGATGGACACGAGGAACATCAAAGAGTGATCTGTGCCTTGTGTTATGGTCATGTGTTCTGTTGAGGTTGGCAAGGAGATGTTTGAGGGGAGGGTTAATATCAGAGTTAAGTGTTCTATGTATGTATGTATGTGTATGGTATATGTATGGTGTATGTATACATGCTGGTGTATGTATACATGCTGGTGTATGTATACATGCTGGTGTATGTATACATGCTGGTGTATGTATACATGCTGGTGTATGTATACATGCTGGTGTATGTATACATGCTGGTGTATGTATACATGCTGGTGTATGTATACATGCTGGTGTATGTATACATGCTGGTGTATGTATACATGCTGGTGTATGTATACATGCTGGTGTATGTATATATCCCAGTGTGTGTATACATCCCAGTGTTTATATGGAAACTTATATCTTGCAGAGTTTATGCACAAAGGTTTACCCTGTATGAATGTACATCATCACCCTAGCCCAACTTACTGTTACTAGCATCTATTGTCTGGTACTAGCATCTGTTGTCTGGTACTAGCATCTATTGTCTGGTACTAGCATCTATTGTCTGGTACTAGCATCTATTATCTGGTACTGGCATCTATTGTCTGGTACTAGCATCTATTATCTGGTACTGACAATTGCTACCAATGGAAATAAGTCACTCTGTCTGACTTTTTTGGGTTATCCCAGGTTCTCTACACATATGCTGCTATGTATGATAATTCTATGTAACTGTATTTGTGTATACCTGAATAAACTTACTTACTTACTTACTTACTAACAACTACTACCTGGTACTAGCATTTATTGTCTGGTACTGACAATTACTACCTGGTACTAACAACTACTACCTGGCACTACCGTACTAACAACTATCTTGCACCAGCAACTACTACCTGGTACTAGCAAATACTACCTGGCAATAGCAACTGCTACCTGGTACTAACAACTATCTTGCACAAGCAGCTACTACCTGATACTAGCAACTACTACCTGGTACTAACAACTACTATCTTGCAGTAGCAGCTACTACCTGGTACTAGCAGCTACTGCCTGGTACTAACAACTACTACCTGGTAGTAACAACTACTGTCTTTCGCTAGTAGCTACTACCTGGTACTAGCAACTAATACCTGGTACTAACAGCTATCTTGCACTAGCAGCTACTACCTGGTACTAGCAGCTACCACCTAGTACTTGCAGGTTCAATTCAAGAGGAAAATTTATCCATTTCCTTGAATCAAGAGCCCCTCCCAAGTATCAAGGCCCCCCTGCCATTGATGGGCAACATCACTTGCAGTGACCAAAACAGCATCAATATTTAATGTCAATATTGTACTCTATACAGTATTATAGCTCTCATATTTAATTACCATGTTAGTATTAATCACTGATGCTGTTTGTAATTAAAGTTTTAAGTTTGGATGAAAGGATAAACCAAATAAAATCTAAGTGACTTGTTTCCAATGGGAGTAAGTGACCATTTGTAATGTTGGCAGAATTACCCACAATATCTTAAGTAAGTAAGTAAGTAAGTAAGTAAGTAAGTAAGTTTATTCAGGTATACACAAATACAGTTACATAGAATTATCATACATAGCAGCATATGTGTAGAGAACCTGGGATAACCCAAAAAAGTCACAGAGTGACTTATTTCCATTGGGGTCCTTTGTAAAAGGACACATTATTATTATTATTATAATCAAGGGGAAGCGCTAAACCCGGAGGATTATACAGCGCCTGGGAGGGAAGGATGTGGAAGGCATTCAGGCTTAATTCGGGGAACTGGAGCACAGATCCAATTCCCTAAATCAAGAGCCCCTCACCAACATCAAGGAACCTTCCTTGAGGGGTAAAAGGACACAAATGTAACTTGGATATTTGTCAAGAACCCTAAAGAAAATATGTCACTTTGACCTTTTTTTTGGGTTATCCTAGGTGTTTTACACTATGTATGATAATTGTATGTGCAAGTTTATTTAGGCATAGGTATATATAAATACTATTATCATAATATCATACTCAGCTCACACACTGAGGTCCGTGGTTCGATCCCCGGTACGGGTGAAAACATTAGGACATGTTTCCTTACGACACCTGCTGTCTATGTTCACCTAGCAGTAAAATAGATACCTAGTGTTAATGGACTGGTGTGGGTCGTATCCTGGGGACAAAATTAACCTAATTTCCTCGAAATGTTTTGCATATAAGGGGCTTTCTGTACAGTATGTCATTGATGTCAGCTGCTTTTTTATTTGTATAATTTGTATCATGTAATTGTACAAATAAAGATTATTATTATTATTATTATTATTATTATTATTATTATTATTATTATTATTATTATTATTATTATTATTATTATTACTACTACTATTATTATTATTATTATTATTACTACTACTATTATTATTATTATTATTAAAAATGTCAAAATGACTTCCATATGGGTTCTGTGCCTAAATAAACTCACTTAGTCACTCACTTATGTACTTACACAGTAAAATATGACATTAGTGTCACATGTTTGTTCTTTTAACTAAGCGACCATTCCTCTGACAACAAACATGGCGCTCAACCTGGTAGCAAAAGTGCACCCGGTGGTGTTTTTCACCATTGTGGACTCTTATGAGAGAAGAAATCCTGACGCCCACCGTGTAATTGGCACCCTTTTGGGTAAGACTTTAAATTTTAAGAGCAAATTAATGGGCTAAAATAACCTGACGTAAATTGGGAAAGATGAACGTGAGCGCACGGTGTTTCACATATTTAAGGTGTACTTTGATGCTAGTGACGGGATCTTGATCCAAGGAATTGGGGCTACCTTTCTATTCCACGGATCAGTTTTGATTACCTCGCATTCCCCAGTTACTGTGTGATCCTTTCAATGCTTCCCATTATAATCCCAGATGTTTTCATCCTTCATGGAAGGACCCCAATGGAAATAAGTCAGACTTTTTTTTGTTGTTTGTTTAGGTTACCCTAAGTAATTTACACTGTATGATAATTGTTCTTATGTGCACCTGTACCTAAATAAACTTGCATAAAAAATATTTTGGGAAGAAAAGCAAAATCTCCAAAATGTCTTAAGGTAATCTTGACCCAACTTATTTTATATAAGTATAAAATTGGTATATTTTTTTTAATTTGTAGGATATGGATGTATTTATTGAAAATCTAAGAGTAAAATGATAGTGGCGACTGGATCCAGTCATCAGATTGCTGGGCTTATTTCCGTCAGGAAACAAATAACTGCCTTTTTTTTGGGTTATCCTACGTATTTACACTGTGTGAGATAATTGTACCTGTGTGTACCTGTACCTAAATAAACTTACTTAAGGAAGGAAGGAAGGAGTGGTGCTTGTTGCTTAAGATGCAGACTTGGATTCATTTTATATCATTGCTTATACTAAATATACAATAATAGGAAAGTCAGTAGGCTGGAAAATTTGCCAGGTAAAAGAACTTTATGCACTTTAAGTGTCCAAGACATTTCAGCTTCCCTTTTTTCCTCAGTATGTATGTTTATTTAGGTACAGGTACACACAAATACAGGTACGTAAATTGTCATAGGAGCTAGGCCTAAACGTGAAACGGCCGAAAGGCAAAGCAATATTTCCCCTGAGAAATAATGTAAATAAAATTAATTCGTTCCAGACCAACAAAAATATTCTCAAAAAATACATTTTGTAAAGAATAACTATAGTTTTATATACACACAACACAGATAAATACATATATATATTATACAATACATAAATTACATTTTAAATGAACATTTAAAATAATATTTACTTCATTTTATAGAAATCCCCTCAAATCACTATTGAAGAGACTTGCTGGCATCTGGAAGGTAGGAGGAGGAGAGAGGGAGGACTTATTGTTTGGAAGGGGAATCCCCTTCCATAAAGACTTGAGGTAGCAAGTCCTTATCTGGGGTTTCTTACCTTCTTTGTCTTTTAAGGCCACTAGGACCAGCTTGAGTCACTGGACTCGTCACACAAAATAACTGTCAAGAGTGCTCTGTTTCTGGCATCTCTTTAAGATTTCCCTGAAGTGGGACAAGGTTTTGTCACTGAACATGTAGCAGATATGGCTTGTTTCAGCTTGGTCAGGGTGGTACTTTTCAACAAAAGTTTGCAACTCATTCCACTTTGCACACTTTTCAGTCACAATTAATGGCTGGCTGGTTGGATGCCTGGCTGGCTGGCTGGTTGGATGCCTGGCTGGCTGGAAGCCTGCCTGGCTGGCTGCCTGGCTGGTTGCCTGCCTGGTTGCCTGGCTGGCTGGCTGCTTGGCTGGCTGGCAGGCTGGCAGGCTGGCTGGCTGGCTGGCTGCCTGCTTGGCTGGATGGTTGCCTGGCTGGCTGGATGGTTGCCTGGCTGCCTGGCAGGATGAGAGGCAGGGTAATGTTCACTCGTTGAAATGCGGGACAAAATTTGTCCAAAAAGAGTGGGCAAAACCCGAAGCGGCCAATTCCAAGGGCGGCCGAAACCCGGGGTTTCACTGTACGTACTAGCTTATTTCGCTTATCTCCTGCCAGTGGATGGGTCTTCATTCATATGCATGAAATATAAGTCTCCATTGCACAGCCCACTTCATATTTTAGAATTTGCATAATAGTTTATTGCTAAGCTCCAAACAGAGCCCCTAAAGTCAGTAAGGTGCTGTATGACCTTATGGGTTTAGAGCTTCCTTATATGTATATACAAAAATTGAAAACATGGAAGCAAAGCTCATGTGATCATAAGGCTGTGTGTATACTAAATGTAAGTAGAAGTTTATAAGATTTTCTTGCCATCCTAATTGTTCATGAGACAGACCGTACAGTAATCCTACCAGAACGCAAAACACTTAAGAGGCTTCCATTCAGACTTCTATAACGGGACACTAGTACCACCAGAGCTGTGTGGTTACTGTCTGCCAACTTATATCACAAAGCCAGGTTAGACATTGTGGGGGCACTTCTATCTGACTTCTTCTTCATGGGTTTAGTATCATATGTATGAAATGACTGGTCCAAAACATCCAGGCATGAAAACGTTTCTTCTCATATTAGAAAAAGTTTAGAGTGTGCTTCTGAAGAAATGTTGAAACTGATTAATTTTATGAGCAAAAATATTGATGAGAGTGATTGCCTCTTCACCAAGTATGAATTAGATAATGCATTAACCCTTTGACTGTTTTGGTCGTATATATACGTCTTATGAGCCACTGTGTTTGATGTATATACAGTGGACCCTCGACTAACGCTGTTAATCCGTTCCTGAGAGCTCATCATTAGTCAAAATAATCGTTAGTCAAGTTAATTTTCCCCATAAGAAATAATGGAAATCAAATTAATCTGTGCAAGACACCCAAAAGTATTGAAAAAAAAAATTTTAACACATGAAATATTAATTTTAATACACACAAACTGAAGAAGAAATGCACAGTTACATGACACTTACCTTTATTGAAGATCTGGTGATGATTGATGGGATGGGAAGAGGGGAGTGTGTTGATGGTCTTAGTGTTTAGAAGGGGAATCCCCTTCCATTATGACTTGAGGTGGCAAGTCCTTTTTCGGGGTTACTTCCCTTCTTTTAATGCCACTAGGACCAGCTTGAGAGTCACTGGACCTCTGTCGCACAACATATCTGCCCATAGAGGCCTGTACCTCCCGTTCCTTTATGACATTCCTAACGTGTTTCACAACATTGTCAGTGTCACCATTAAACACTTGTTCAGGTTTCAGTCCTTCACTGTCTATGTACTCCTTGAATTCCTGCACATATTTTTCAGCTGATTTTTGGTCCAAACTGGCAGCCTCACCATGCGTTATCACACTATGTATGCCACTACGATTCTTAAATCTCTCAAACCAACCTTTGCTGGCCTTAAATTCACTCACATCACCACTAGTTGCTGGCATTTTTCTAATTAAATCGTCATGCAACTTCCTAGCCTTTTCACATATGATCGCTTGAGAGATGCTATCTCCTGCTATCTGTTTTTCATTTATCCATACCAATAACAGTCTCTCAACATCTTCTATCACTTGCGATCTCAGTTTCGAAAACATAGTTGCACCTTTGGCAAGAACAGCTTCCTTGATTGCCGTTTTCTTGGCCACAATAGTAGCGATGGTTGATTGGGGTTTTGTGTACAGCCTGGCCAGCTCGGAGACATGCACTCCACTTTCATACTTAGCAATGATCTCTTTCTTCATATCCATAGTAATTCTCAACCTTTTTGCTGTAGGGTTGGCACTAGAAGCTTTCTTGGGGCCCATGGTGACTTATTTTGCAGGTGCAATCACTAAAAAGGCTGTGATAATATGAAATGTTCCGATTGTATGCTTGGAAGCGACCGCGGTGGCTGGCTGGCTTGTAAACACTGGCCAGAAGTGGATGCATCTCAGAGGCAAGGAATAGTGTTGGTCGAGTTTTTTAGCGCTAATCGAGGCAAAATTTTTGCGATAAAATGTATCGCTAGTCAGATTTATTGTTAATCGATGCCATCGCTGGTCGAGGATCCACTGTATACTCATAAATTCTAGCGGCTTCAAATCAAGCAGGAGAAAGCTGGTAGGCCCACATGTGAGAGAATGGGTCTGTGGTCAGTGTGCACCATATAAAAAAAAAACTGGAGCATGCAGTGCATAATGAGAAAAAAAACTCCGACCATTTTTTTAATTAAAATACCGACTTTGTGGTCTATTTTCGTATAGTATTTACGGTTGTATTCTCATTTTCTTGGTCTCATTTGATAGAATGGAAAACATATTATAGAAATAGAGGTGATTTTGATTGGTTTTACATGAAAAGAACCTGGAAATGGAGCTCAGAGTAGGGGAAAAGTTTGATTTTTGCCGATGTTCAAAAGTAAACAATTGATGTCATTGTCCAATAAATGTCCAACTAGCCATTCTAATATGCAGTCATGAATGGGTTGATGTTATTTATACAATTATTACAGAATTGCAGTAGTCTGCATAACAGTAAATCTTCTATTTTTTGTTTGAATAAAAATTCAAAATAGAAAGCAAGAGGGGCCTGGAGACGTGACTGATGAACAAAGAAAATGTTATTTTAGAACCAGGAATGTCTGCATTGTTTATTCTGGACCTTATTTTGAAATTGTCATATTTTTTAATTTTCGTGAAATTGGCCAAATTGCAAATTTCTGACCACGTTATTGGGTAGTTGAAATCAGTAAATGGGCAGTTTCCTGTACTCAATCGATAGAAAAAACGGAGTTCTAAAGAAATAGTTGAGTTTGGTCGACTGGAACAATGGAATTAGCTGAAAATAGGGCTCAAAGTGGGCAAAATCGCCGATTTGTAAATATCACCGAGGTCGCTAACTTCGCGAGAGCGTAATTCCATCAGTTTTCCATCAAATTTCGTTCTTTTGGTGTCATTACAATTGGGAAAAGATATTCTATCATTTCATAAGAAAAATTTTTTTCGTTTTTTTTTTTTTTTTTTTTTAAATTTTGCGACACCAGGAGACACCTCAGGATTGGGGGTTGCGACAGTCGAGGAATTAACTAAAGGTTGATCAACTGCTCCTGGAGAGGATGGTATAACCTATGATATTCTCAGAACTTTAAGGCACGTGCCTGGTAACCCTTTGTTGGCACTGTATAATACCAGTTACATTGAGGGAGTTCTTCCTACTTCCTGGATCAAT